AAAGGTCTGCCACAGCAATGTAAGTGCAATTTCAAAAACCATGGAAGATCAGAATAATGAAACAGAGAGAAAGGATTTCATTCTCACTTCCTTATTCACAACCTCCAACATCACTAACCTTTTCACTGGCTTTTGGTGAAAGAAACTGACTGACTAAAATTCATGGCACAGAGGTATCTAAAAACTACTGGCAGGGTGCAGTGGCTTTATGCCTAGTAACCCCAGCACTTTGAGCCGAGTGGGTGGATCACCTGGAGGTCAGGAAGTTGAGGACCCCCTGGCACATGTGAATCGCATCTCTACCTGAAAACATACAAAAATTATGGGCCACGGGTGTAGGTGCGGCACTGAATCCAGCTAACTCGGAGGACTGGAGGCAGGAGAATGCTTGAACCCAGGGGATAGGTGGAATGTGCAGTTGAGCAAAGATTGCATTGCACTCCAGCACTTGGTGACAGAGTGCAGACTCGTCGTCTCAAAAAAAAAAAAAAAGAAAAAGAAAGTACTTAACGCGTCAAATTGCATTATTCGTCTGACGTGTTAAAATTAAAGGATTTTCCCATTAGCCACTGTTAATTTCTAGTATTTATTGGAAATGGTCTGCGAAATCATTGATGCTCTCAATGTTTCCATCTGCTGTAAAGCTCATGGATCACGACACTTCAAAACAATTGGGGCACCCCCCCTCTGAAATTAACCTTTTTATTTGTCAAGTTCCAACATTTTTATTAAACAATTATTCTAATTCATTCAATAATGCAGACTTTTTTGTTTGTTGTTGTTTTTTGTTTGAGACGGAGTCCGCTCTGTTCACCCAGCTGGTAGTTGGCAGTGGCGATCTCGAGCTACTGCCAGCCTGCTGGCCTCCCGTTTGTATGTGCATTCTCCTGGTGCCTCGCCTCCCTAGTAGTGGGACTACAGGTGCGCGCCACTCACCCGGCTAGTTTTTTGGTATTTTTTAGTAGAGACGGGGTTTCACCGTTTTAGCCAGGATCGTCTCCGATCTCCTTGACTCCGTGATCGCGGCATCTGGCTCCCAAAGTGTGGGCGCAGTTACAGGCTTGAGCCACCGGCGCCCGGCCTAATGCCGACTTTTGAAAAAATCAAGGGCTTGGCAAGTGGCTCTCGCTGTGAATCCCAGCATTTTGGGAGGCAAGGCTGACGCAGGTGGATTGCTAAACTCAGGTGTTTGAGGACCAGCCTGGGCAACATGGGCGGAAATCTCTGGGACTCTATAAGAAAAAAAATTCTCTCCACGCGCGCTCGCTGCGCGCCCGGTGCATTGCCCTGTAATCCCCGGTACTCGAGGGAGACTGAGGTGGGAGGGCCACCTTGAAGAGGTCCAAGGGGGGCTGCAGTAGCTGTAATGGTACCACTGCACTCAGCCGGCGCAACAGATGAGACTGCTTGTCTCAAAAAAAAAAATAAATCAAGATTGTTTCTTACTGACGCTTGGTCTCAAGTCACTTGCTGTAGACTGCAGCGTTGTAGAATGTTTTCACTGCCTAAATAATTTTTAGAATACCTTAACCAACTTTGTTTGCTCATATTTTCTTTTTTATGTGTGCATAAGAGTAATATAAAATAAAACTCTGTGTTTAAATAAATGTAAAAGATCTCTTTCTGGCCAGGCACAGTGCTCACAGCACTTTTGGAAGCCATGGCAGAAGGATCACTGGAGGCCAGGAGTTCAAGGCTGCAGTGAGCCATGATCCAATTACTCCAATTGCAAGTAAATGAAATCTGTAACAACCTAAATAAGCTTGGAGAAGACCATGAGCCACAGATAACGGTCCAAACTGATACCTTGATTTCAACTAGCTGAGACTGTGGGCAGAGAATCCAGCTAAGCCAACCTCAGGCTTCTAACCTACAGAAATCAAGAGATAATAAATATGTGTTGTTGTTAAGCCACTAAATTTGTGTTCATTTGCTATGTAGTAATAGAAAACAAATACAACAGCATGGGAATTTTTGCCTATTTTGTCTGCTGATATATCTCCAAGACTTAGAACATGACTGGCATATAACAGACACTTAATGAATGTTTATTGATGGAATTCACATGGAATTAATTTAGTCTTAGGAAAATATCACTACATTCTCATTATTTCTCTTATGTTGCTTCAAACCAATAAAAACATCCTATTTTCTTTTTTTTGAGACAGAGTTTCGTTCTTGTTACCCAGGCTGGAGTGCAGTGGCACAATCTCAGCTCACTGCAACCTTCGCCTCCCAGGTTCAAACGATTCTCCTACCTCAGCCTCCCAAGCAGCTGGGATGACAGGCGCGCACCAGCACACCTAGCTAATTTTTTTTGTATTTTCAGTAGAGACGGGGTTTCACCATGGCCAGGCTGGTCTTGAACTCCTGACCTCAGGTGATCTGCCTGCCTGGGCCTCCCAGGGTGCTGGGTTTATAGGCGTGAGCAACCGCGCCCGTCCGAAAACATCGTATTTTCTATAGACAAACACTAGAGCCATGGTTCTTATGATCAGAGATAAGCCATTTGAAGGAAAGCAAGCCTTTACCTACACTCTCTAAAAGACAGAGGCTACAAGGCCCTCTGAGGCTTTTAGATAAGCTCAGTAGTTCAAGTCCCAGCAATCTGCCAAGAAAACTCAAAGGCATCACAATAGCTGTAGCTTTCCTGAACACAGGGGTGCTCTACTTAAAAAGAGTCAGAAGAAAATGTAAACTTACAGTATCAACAAACACAGCAGAGGTTATTTACACTGTAAAAATGACCCTAGTTTTGCAAAAGCTTCCAGCGGTAAACTGTCCTCAAAAATCACTCTCACATGGTATAAGGAAATACTCCAGTCTCTAAAAGTGGTCCAGTCCATTTGCTCATTCAGTAAATAGGTATTGAGCAGCTAGTGTGTGCTAGATGCCAAGGATCAAGTGGTGAGCAAAACAGATGGAGCCCCAAAATTCATTAAGTTTACACTATGTAAAGGGCGACAGATATGAAACAAATTCATAATCATATAAATAGACATATGTAAGTACAACTGCTGTGGAAGAGAACCAAAGGGAGCTGTAATTTGAATTGTGACTTCAGAAAAGGCCTGAGGATGAGCAGGAGTTAGCCAGAGAGTCACAGTAATAACCTCAAACAAAATAAAGAAGAGAAAGACCATCTTACAGCGTTATCAGCAGCCAATGGACAGGAATGCAGGGCACTTTATTCAGTGGCTCTCCTTGAAAGTTATTCCATGCAACCCAATTCCAGACCATGTGTACTGTTCTGCTCCCAGGAAGACCTCAGAAGAGTCCCAAGAGCTCTTTTAAATACCCAGAAGCCAAAGAAGGGCCATACACACAGAAGTACTTTGAATGTAGTGGTTTTAATCAGGAAGAAACACAGTGCCCTGCACAGTGCACATGCTCGAGACACAGTGGCTGTATTTATTTATTGACTGACTTTAACCCAACTGATGATGCTTGAAGATACCGAGGTTAACGCTTCTGCTCCATGAACTACTTATCACTCTTAAAACAGCCCAGTGCTGGGGGCTGGGCTGGGGAATGACCCGTCATAAAACTGTCAGCACATACAGCCCTGTCACTACTTAAGACACACCTGACATACTGTAGATTTGTTTATTGTCTATCTCTTCCCACTAGAATATAAATTTCATGAAAACACGGATTTTCATCTGCTTTGTTCACTCTTATATTCCTGACACCTAGAACAATGTCTGGCATATAGTAAGCACTCAATAAGTATCAGTTCAGTGAATGAATGCTGTCTGACGGATGCCCCTTCATTTACTATTTATTTTTTACCTTTGGACTACAGTGACGGGCGGAGGCAGAATTGTATTCAGGTGTACAGAGGAAGGGAATTCCTTCCCTAAGGTTCTTCCCCTCTACATGGCAGTGTGCTAGGCTATGGTGTGTGGTTGTTTGCTGGCTCCCTGTAAGAGGATTACACCAGCCCCATCTGTTGCCTAAGGATATGCGGGATCTCATGTAAGCAGAGTACGGCCCCAACACACACACACAAACACACACATCCCAGCAGGACTTTGAGAGCGATAGTGTGGTGGGCTCTGTGTTTTCCTCTCTTGTTTTGCTTATGAGAACAGCTGGCTCCTTATCTGAGCTGCTCCTTCAGCCTGGGCCCCAGACTCAAGACCCCAGCCTACCACAGCTAGCATGTAATGTAAGTGAGAAATAGATGTGTATTATTGTAAGTCACTTAAATTTGGGGGTTGTTACTAGAGCAAAGAAACTAATAAGCCACTCATTAATTTTTTGGGAGAGTGAGAATTAAGGAGAGGCAGAAAATAAGCCAGTCATTAATTTTTTGGGAGAGTGAGAATTAAGGAGAAGCAGAAAAACAAGAAAACATAAGAAAGCTGTCTACAAAAACTTACTAGAGAGGAAACAACGAAGAGGTCTCAAGCTGCAATTTAAGTAAATGGGGAAATGACCCATCTACAAAAATTAATTTATACACAGTCCTTAGGAACAAATCTTTTTACATATGTCAACATGCCTATACTTTATAAAAATAGTTAAAGAATATTAGGAAATCAAACCTTGAAATGAATTGAAGAAGGCTACAATGTTGGGATGTTTCATCTTTGCCAGAAGAATGACTTCTTTCTTTGAAGCTTCTTTTTCTTGTATGGGCATCTAAATTACATTAAGAGACACAGTAGTCTATAAAGGTAACTTGGTTTCAAGAACATGCTTTCTGCTCGTTTCCATCTCAAATTCTCTAGGATTTCAGTGGCTTTTAATGTCACTTTGAAACCGATCTTTCAATGGCAGGAAACATTTCTAGAATTAGCAGAGTACCCTACATCACATCAATGGTTTGTCGACAATCATCATCAAGAAAATAAATATTTCTGGTGAAGTTTTGCTACATTAAAAGCTGGACTGGTGGTACTGTGTTCATTATCTAGCCATATGCAGCCATATTTTAATATCTATCTTTCAGTAGCAAAGGAATTCTTTATAAAAATGCAACATTCCAGGAGCAATCACTGCTGAGAAGAAACAAATGCAATCTAAAAAAAGAAAATGTGTCATATCCTACAGAAATCAGGCCAATAAAATTTTGTATTAAGATGACTACATTTTTCATTTTCAAATAAAAATTGTCTTGCATGACTTCATTTTGGAAGTATTTGGGTGTATTTTCTTGTTCTACTTATCATCTATAGACAATACTTTCCAAGGGGTTTGGTGCCAGTATCAGTGGCCACACCTCGTTTCTACTTTTCTTCCTCACTCTTGATACTTTGCTGACTTGTCATTTTTACCCTGACTTCCAGCCCCTGACTGCCCCGCCTTTCTGATGCCCATGGGGCCTCCACCCATTAGAAGTCTTCAACATTGGCCAAATTTTTCATTCTCATTTAAGACTTAAGAATGTTTAAAAAATTAATATTCTCAATTCTAGTTTCCCTACATCTCAGCTGAAGGATCCTTCAGTAAGGATCTTTCTAAGCTTCAGTGTTTCCTGCCCCAATTTAAATTGTATAGTCAGTACATAGGCGTTTCAAAACAAAAACAGCTGAATTACTCCTATCAGCTAGATAGATTTAGCAACTTAAAAAAGTCCTAACTACTATTTATTCAAAAGAATATTATAAACAAAATTAAAAGGCAAACAAAAGGTTAGGTTACAATATTTGTACCATATATGACAAATATATTTATAATAATGTAAAAATTGATGGCAAATAATTTTTAAAAAGGCAAACACCCCAACAGAAAAAAGCAAAGTACAAGAAGAGTCAACTCAAAAAAAACAAGAGAAATAAAAATGGCTGATAGAAAAAATATTCAATCTTATGCAGTAATCAAAGGAATAAAAACTAAAGCAAAATTTGGCTGGGTGTGTGGTAGCTCAGGCCTGTAATTCCAGCACTTTGGGAAGCCAAAGCAGGCAGATCATTTGAGGCCAGGAGTTCAAGACCAGCCTGGCCAACACGGCAAAACCCTGTCTCTACTAAAAATACAAAAAAGCAGTCAGGCGTGGTGGCACACACCTGTGGTCCCAGTTACTTGGGAGGCTGAGGCAGGAGAATGTCTTGAACCTGGGAGGTGGAGGCTGCAGTAAGCCAAAATCATGCCACTGCACTCCAGCCTGTTTGACAGAGTAAGACTCCATCTCAAAAAAAAAAAAAAAAAAAGGAATAAAAACTAAAATGTAATACAGTATTTCATGTATGAAATTGGCAAAGATGAAAAGAATGTCAACAACCACTATTGACCAGAAAGCAGCAAAATGGACACTCATTTATTTCTGGTAAAAGAACACAAATTCATAAAATCCTTCTGGGAAGGCAGTTTTACAGTATAATATGAATCTTTAAAACGTTCATTTTTGGGGGGGATCTGTATCCTAATGAAGAAATGTTCCTTTTTTATTTTTTTAAGACAAAGTATTGCTCTATCACCCAAGCTGGAGTGCAGTGGCATGATCTTGGCTCACTGCAGCCTCTGCCCACTGAGTCCAAGTGATCCTCCCACCTCAGCCTCCTGAGTAGCTGGGACCACAGGCAAGCACCACCATGCCCGACTAATTTTTTGTATTTTTAGTAGAGATGGGGTCTCACCATGTTATCCAGGCTGGTCTCAAACTCCTGTCCTCAAGTGATCCAGCTGCCTCAGCCTCCCAAAGTGCTGGGATTACAAGCATGACGGAAATGTTCCTATTTTTGACTTACTAATTCTTCTAGAAATTTATCCAAAGAAAATAAAAGTGTATAGAAGAGTTCTCATACAAAAGACTTTGTTACAGTGTTTTATTGCTAGTTTTTAAGTTACTCTAATAATGCATGCTTGTTTTAAGTCAAATAGAAGTGAATAAGGTAAAAGTGAAACTTCCCTCTTTCTTTCTCATCTAGCCCACAGATGAAAGCCCACAGGTGGTAACCTTACTCTTAATGGCAAAAACGCAATTACTTTTGCGCCAACCTAATACTACGTTCCCTAGGAATAACTTTGTAAATAGAGCTTTTTAAATTCATGCACATATAGGTAAGCATATATACATAGTTTTGCTTAATAAAAATGAATTATACTTTACATATTAAATATTATTGAATCGTAGCCAAAAAACCAACCAAACCAAACAATTTAATTATCTGAAAACAGAAAAAGAGTTAAATAAATTACAGGGGCTGTTTTGCTGGGTTTTCCTTTTTCTTTTTCTTTTTCTTTTTTTAAGACAGAGTTCTGCTATGTTGTCTAAGCTGGATTTTAACTCCTGGGGTCAGGGGATCCTCCCAACTCATTCTCCAGAATAGCTGGGACTACAGGCACCATGCCCAGCTAAATTATGTTATTTTTAACCTGCTACCACTTTAATGCTATGCAGTCATTAAAAATAAAGGGAGGCAACGTATTATCATGGAAAGAGCAGAGAAAGACTTCGATGGAACTGCTGAGTACTGTGCATCCTGAAGCTAACTGCTTAACCTCTTTAGCCTCAGCTCTTTCACTTGTACAGTGAGAGTAATAAGAGCTACCTTTCAGAGTGGTTGTGAAGATTAAATTGAGTTGATATATATAATAAAACACTTACAATGGTGTGACATACAATGGACACCCTGTAGGTAGTCCCTTTATCATTAGTGTGAACATTTAATATTATATGATAACGTTATACAAAAATATTGAATGAGACGACGAAATATTCAAAATATATTACTAATAAAAAAACTGTTACAAAAGAGTATATCCTGGCTGGGTACGGTGGCTCACACCTGTAATCCCAGCACTTTGGGAGGCTGAGGCAGGCAGATCACGAGGTCAGGAGTTCCAGACCAGCCTGGCCAACATAGTGAAACCCTGTCTCTACTAAAAATACAAAAATTAGCTAGACACAGTGGCATGTGCCTGTAGTCCCAGCTACTCAGGAGGCTGAGGCAGGAGAATCGTTTGAACCTGGGAGGCAGAAGCTGCAGTGAGCCAAGACTACGCCACTGCACTCCAGTCTGGGCAACAGAGCGAGACTCCATCTCAAAAAAAAAGAGTATATCCACCATGACACCAATCATTCTAATAACTTATATATTTATACATTAAAAATAGTCTAGAGAGAAATTCAGCAAAATGTTCATAGTGATTAAGAAAGAGGTTATATGCTATTTTTATTTTCCTCTAAATGGTCTTATTTTCCCCTTTGGTTCCTTTCAAAATTTCTACAATGAACATTTGTATTTTCATAATTGAGGAAAGATAAAACACTTCTATTTGAGCCCAGAAGGAAAAGAACATGCTTTATAATGGTAGGATGATAACAGAAAATATTAGCTTTTTGGTAACTGTAAGAAAATAAGCAATTTACTTCTGGGGTCTAGTGTAGGGAGTAGGGAGGCATTAGAGAGAAGAAATAGAAATTTCTCTAGATAAGAAGTAATGAAAAACTACATGAGAGTAGATAGGAAGAAAGAAGTAATAAATGTTAGTATTGTGACACAGATGTTACAGGTAAATTCAACAACATAAAGAGATATGGGAAAACAAGAATAATGAGGTCTAATATAAGATTCTACTTATTTATGGCATGGTGACAAGGGTAGTTCATGAGTAAAGTGATGAAAAAATTGGTGCTCTATTACAAAACTATAGTCAATTTTTGATTATACTAAAGAATGGGAGAGGTGCTCTGAAATGAAGTAATGTACATTTTTATAGAGATTCACCTCTCAAGTATTTTCTCCTTACATAGAATTAAAATGGTTTTATAATTCCTAAATATATACCAGCTTTGCAATAGAGCAAGAGGGCTAGAAAGCATCTGTCCAGTGAATCATCTATCCAATAAGAAGTTATTGAATATCTCCTGGCACCAAGCATTATTATTAGGTGCTGTGTGGAATGCCAGCACGAAATTCACATGGACTCAGTCCTCACAGAACATGTTACAGCTAAATAAGGAGGAGAAGGCACAAAATAAACAGCCAAAGCATGTCCAGAAAGAAATCAGTCAGTACTATAACAGAGGTTCCAATAAAAGTTACGCAAGTTTACAGAGAAAGAGAAATTCTTTAAAGTGGGAGGATTCTGGAGGTATGGTGGAACTCAGCCTTGAACAAGTGGGATCCTGATGCTGGGAGATCAGCAGGCAAGGACCTTGGGAGAAGCAAGCCTGTAACCAAATGCAGAGGCTGGAGTGGGGAAAAAAAAAGTAGGGTATGTGATAGGAGCCATAATTTTGGAGCAAATTAGAGAAGGTCTCAAAATTTCTCTGAAGAGTGAAACAGTATAAAAACACAAGGCAGACCAGGCACAGTGGCTCACACCTGTAACCCCAGAACTTTGGGAGGCCAAAGCAGGAGGATCACTTGAGGCCAGCCTGGGCAACATAACAAGATCCTGTCTCTAAAAAAAATTCAAAATTACCTGGGTGTGGTGGCGCATGCTTGCAGTCCTAGCTACTCAGGAGGCTGAGGCAGGAGGATGGCTTGTTCAAGGTTACAGTGAGCTATGATGATGCCACTGCACTCCTGCCTGGGCAACAGAATG